CTGGGGAGTAAGTGTGACCCTGCCTCTTCCCACTGACCCCCTGCCTGGGCCTTTGTACTTGCTGTTCTTTCTTCCCCAGACCTCCCCACAGTTGGCACCATTTTTTCAGTTAGAGGTCAGTGAGATTGTCACCCCTTCTAGGGCTTTCCTTAATCATCCATTCAAACCATCCGCTCCACCTTCCCCAGAGTAGTTTATTTTTTTTGTACTTGTATTTTTCTTGTGCATGTATTTATTCACTTATTTCTGCTCCTGCCTCTAGAAGGTAAGATTCCCGGGCAGGACCTTTTTTTGTCTGGTGTCTCCCTATATTCTTAGCACCTAGAGTGTGCCTAGCATGAAAGAAAGAAATGAAATTCAGTTGGCTGAACACATGACTAATCAGGGATTCTCAGTATGCATAGATGATCATAGATCACAGCTAGTTTTTAATCACAGCTATTTTTGCTTATAAATGTGAATTATCTAAAAGATTAAAAAAGAGCAAACAATCATCGGAAGAAAGGCTGAACAATATAGATGTATGTAAAATAGAAAGAAAATCGAAAGGAAATGCATGTGGTGGCATATGGCCATTCTGGAAGGCTGAGACAGGAGGATCAGAAGGTTGAGTTTAGCCTGGGCAATTTGACTTAATGAGACTGTCTTAAAATAAAAAATAAAAATGGCTGGGGGTATAGCTCAGTGAAAAGGCCCTGAGCTTAATCCCTAGTACTGTAAAAATAAATTAATTAATTTAAAAGTCACAAATGATTTTTTTTTTTTGATCTTTTTTTTTTTTTTTTTGGTTTTTCTCCGGTACCAGGAACTGAACTCACGACCTTGCGCTTGCCAGGCAGGCGCTTTGCCGCTGAGCTAAATCCCCAGCCCCACAAATGATTTTATCTTGGTTTTATTTTGGCATATTTCTTGGCCTGTTTCTCTCTAAGCCTGTTGTCTGATGTTGACTGGCTGGGGGGATGCTGGTGCCTTTCATGGGAAGGAAGAGGCTGGGAGAGACATAACTGAGAAGATCAAGCATTTTCTGGGAGGCTGAGACAGGAGGATCAAAAAAATTTTGAGTCTAGCCTGGGTGTCTTGGTTACTTTTCTCTTGTTGCTGAGACAAAATACCTACACTCACAATGGAGGAAGGAAGGATTTATTTAGCTTACAGTTTGCGGAGGTTTTAGTTCATACTTGGCTGGTTCCAAGGCAGAGTGGCAAATGGCACAGGGCAACCGTTCATGGAGGCAGAAGATAGCAAAAGCAATAAGAGCAAAATGGAGGAGCAGTGGCAAGCAGCCTGTTTGCCTCTCTTACATTGTATGCGGACTTCCCCGCCTCAGGGCAGGTGTAGCACTCAATCCATAGTTCCAACACTGGACCATAAATCAGTCATAAATCTAGACGCCCGGCCCATGACTGCGTGAGAATTTGGGGGGACATCCAGACACAAACCATAACACTGGGCAGCTTAACAACTTAATGAGATCCTGTCTCAAGAAGGGGTTTAGGTGGAGGTGTAGCTCAGTGTGAAGGTCCTAGGTTCAGTCCCCAATATTGAATGGGAGGCTCTCTGTTAGACGTGAGGTGTTTGAGATGCGCCTTGGACACCTGAGTGGGAAGTTGGCTCTCCAAGTCTACATCTTGGGTGAGGGCCCAGCTGGAGGTATAAATCTGGGAGGTGATGGCATGCACTTGTCACTTAAGCCACGGCACTGGATACGGTCAGGGCGTAGGCTGTGGTCAGGAGAGAGATGAGAACAGTGTCTGCAGTGCCAGGGTTGGAGCACAAGGGAGAAATAGTGCTGAGAAAAGCCAGAGCAGGAGCTGCCAGTGAGGCTGGAGAGCGACGTGGTGCCCGCAAGCCCAGGAGGGCCTCCAGGTGAGATGGGATGCCCAGGGAGTGTGAATTTCAGATACACAGTAAATCACTGTTTGGCGTGTGTGTGTGCTGAGCGGTGGAAAAGTCCGACAACTCTAAGCCCAAGGAAGGGGTCTCAAGACCACGCATGTAGGTAAGTCAACCAGCGCACTGTTCCTGTAACCGTTACACTGGAGTGCTGACAGGATAGGGCACCAAAGAGCACCCTAGTTTAGGAGAGGAAGGTGGAACTTTTCTTTTCCAGTAGTAGGTATTAAACTCAAGGCTCTCTACCACTGAGCTATGTCCCTGGCCTTTTTTAACTTACAGTTTTGAGACAGGGTCTGGCTGAGTTGCTGGCTGGGACTTCACTGCAATCCTCCTGCTACAGCCTCCTGCCACAGCCTCCCTCAGTGCTGGGATTGCAGGCGTGCACCATGGTGCCGGTGTAGGCAGAATGTTTTATGGGGCCTTAGCGGGAAAGTTCCAGTAGACTTACAGGCTGGGGTGACCCAGGTGGGCCTGATTTCGGAGGTGGGACTGTGCTTGTTCTTAAGGACCTGCAGCCCTGTGGGCAGTCTGGACTTTAACAAGTGGATGAGAAGAACTGGGGTTAAAGTCAGGTCCAAGAAGAGCAGGGAGAGCTTCTGCAGTGACAGGAATTGGGGAAGTGTTGGGAGTCTCCTTCACCAAAGTGCGTTTGTCTGGGAAGTTAGGCACGTCCAGTTCTGGGGGAGTCTCAGATGTAGCCCGTGTGTTATGCAGGTGACCGCTGGCCTGGACACGAGCAGTTTCGTTGGGAGGAGAGAACAGAGCATGCCCTGACACGTGAGCACAGAAGGGTGGTGGAAACACACGGTGGGCCGAGTCTTTGTGTAGCTTTTCCCTGGCAAGGAGAAGGCAGATGGGATGAGAGCTGGAGGGACCCTTGAGGTCAAGGCACAGTCTGGTTCTCATGAGGTGGACCCCTGCATGTGGAGAGCAGAAACCAGGGAGGTAGGAAAAGAGCACCCAGGGGAGGATGTCACTCTCCTGCTCCTCTGTAACCTCTGCTGCTTCAGTGTAAAGGGGACAGAAATAATCTAATCTTCCTGGTACCTTGTGAGGATTGAAGGAGATGAAGGGATGCCACACGGGGTCTCTATCACTAGCTGTGACTAATGTTTTCTGAGGACATTTGCCTTTGCAGGGACCCAGGTACCCCAGCCCCATCCGCTAAGGTTCCAGGCGGCCCCATAGGTAAGCAGAGTGGGTGCAGGAGAGCTGTTGAGAGCTCTGGGTGGTGCAGGGTCCTCCCGAGAACCGTAGGGTGGGGTCTTCTCCTCGCTCTCCATTATCTTCCACCTGCACAGCCAGCCTCCCATGTGGCCTCACTCAGTGTGCCAGGATCGCTGGGATGATTTGACAGGAAGTTTTGAAAAGTGATTAGTTAGGCAGAAGGGCTGAAAATGAGAAAAGCCTCTGGAAGGTAGAGCAGAGCTCCTAGCTTAACCATAGGAGGAATGACTGAACGCCGGGCAGCTGCTGTCTGCAGAGCCGAGGCAGGGCCTGCGCAGTGGCCTGGTGAGAGGAGGGCAGTTGTCCTCAGCCCTGAGTTGTGAGTTGCCTGAGCCTGGGAGGAAGGAGGAGTCCTATAGTCGTTTCCACTGTTTATTGCCTCTGTGGGCCAGGCTGACCCTTCCTGGGCTGATGTGCTCCAGGCTGGCTGGGTAGGGCTGGGGACTTCCCTTCCTTCAGGGTGCCTCCGTAAGCCGCGAGACCTCACTGCACAGGGCTTTCCCCTCCCAGGCCCAGAAGCTCCTTCGCTGTCTTGGTAAACCTGCATCTCACAATGCTTCGCTGTTTTGATGAGTGAGAGGAGGGTGGGGGTTGGCACTGGTGACCTTCAGCTCCTTGCTACTGCAAGTTAACAACTTAGACACAGGCCCCTTGCTGCCTTCTTCCTCATCTCCTGCTTGTATAGACTCCAGAGCTGAGAGCCTTCTCGGCTATTCCCTGAGCAAGTGACCGCCTCTGGACGTGAGCCCTATGCACTGAGGCCTTCTAGATTCCCAGGCCTGTTGGGAATTCTTCAGACCTGCAGAGGAAATGTCTTTCCTCAGCTATTCCTTTTGAACTTTTTCATTAATCTGTTGTTTACCTCGCTATTACCCACTGCTAGAGCCAGGAAGTGCCTGTGATTGTTTTCAACCAATGCCTCCCAGGGCACAGACGGTTGCACTGAGGGATCTCCAAGTCAGGTGCGGTTTCCATGAGTAGTCATGAAGATGGATCTTTGGGAATAAGGAGAGAGGTCTAGCTCTCTTCCAAGTCCTCCAGACTGCTGGTTCTTACCATAGTTGTGGGTGAAGTTTTCAAAGCCATGGGCAGTGGAACTGAGGCAAATTAGAATGTCAGTAGTATTAGAAATATTGTAAAGTTGAAGTTCTTCCTGAGATTCAGAATTTTTGAGTAGCTATTCCTTGGGTTGCTGTCAGCCTTTAAGCCTTTGATTAATTCCCAGAGTGCTGAAAAAGTAGTGTTGATCTGATCTGGTCTGATCTGGTCTGGTCTGGTCTGGTCTGGTCTGGTCTGGTCTGTTCTGGTCTCGTCCCCTCCCCTCCCCTCTCCTCTCCTCTCTTCTTCTCTCCTCTCCTCCCTTCCCCTCCCCTCCCTTCTTCCCTTCCCCTCTCCTCCTTTCTTTTTTTCTTTCACCTGTCCATCCATCTGTCTGTCCATCCATCTAAGTACTTGGATTGAAGCCAGGCCCTTGAGTGAGCATGTTAGGCAAGTGCTCTAATGGTGAACTACACGCGCCCCCGCTCCCCCAGCTGGTTTTGCCCAGGCTGAGCTCAAACATTTAATTCTCCTGCCTCAGCTTCCCTAGTGGCAGAGATTACAGATGTGCACCATGGCATCCAGCTTCCATTCACCATTTTTGCAGACTCCCATCCATACATATTAATGCTCTCTTGCATAGGTATGTTTTTCTTTCACACGTGTACATATGCAATAGCAAACTTCCTTAGGTTGGGGTGCAGGAGGCCTCCAGTAAGAGACTGGTTGAGATGGCACCAGCTTCTGCCTTTGCAGGAGGCCTGAGGGCTCACATGCAGTTGGTGCCTGCTGGGAATTGGAAGTTCTACAGTCCAACCTTGTTGCTTTGTATCTCCCAGGTTAGAGCTGCCGGGGGCTGAGCTGTGTGCAAATGGAAGGGACAGAGACCCGACAGAGGAGGCTGGAAGGCTACGACAGGCCAGAGGAGCTGGAGGCGTTGCCCTCCCTCAGCACAAAAAGACTCCCTGAGACCTCAGAAGATGGATGTCCGGGAGTCCCTGAGGGCCCGGCGGTGGCCCCCAAACCACTGGAGGCTGAGCCCAGCAGAGAGACTGCCTGCACCATTGGCCTCCAGGTGACAGTGCCCTTCGTGTTTGCAGGCCTAGGCCTGTCCTGCGCTGGCATACTCTTGAACCATTTCCAGGTAAGAGGGAACTCAGTGGGGTTGGCGGCCGCTGTCCAGTGTCAGCCTAAGGCGTAGGCAGCTGCGCATCGGGACCAGCAGGAAAGGCACAGGGACGATCTCTGCAAATACCATTTTTCTCTATATCAGGCAAGATTCTTCTAGTTGCTAGCGGCATACACTAAATTTAACCAAGTTAAGTTTAAAAAGTTTGTCAGCTCATATAATTTTGGATTTCAGGCATGGCATAATTCCATTGCTCAGATATACCAGAATGCATTTGATCATCTCTTTTCTGATATATTCTTAAGTTTAACAACTACATTAGTCTGCTCAGGCTACTGCGGCAAAGTACCACACACTGGGGATGTAACCAGCAGCAAGTTAATTTCTTAGAGTTCCTAAGGCTGCCTCATCGAAGTATGCGGCTTCCAAAGGAAGCAGAGTCAGCTAGCAAGACTGGCTTTTGTGACTAATTCTATCAGCTTTGCTTCTGTTGATTAGAAGCGGGACACTGTTTCTGGCCTGAACTCTGGGGGCATCAGTTACATAAGAATGTCAGTAACAAGAGGTAGGAGGTGGGGGAGGTACTGTCCAGGGACAATGCCATGTTGCCCACAATGTTCATTATAGTGTGATTTATATCACTTATGAGTGAGCAAGGTTGAGTGCCTTTTGATGCTTGTGTAGATTCTTTGCTATATGGAATGTTTGCCCCCCTCAGAAGGGGTTTCTGAGGGTACAAATAGGAGTGCCTGCTGATTTCACTTTGGAGAGATTCTAGAAACTTCAGTTAAAGGGGCTCATTTGCAGTGGACCATTTTGCAAGTGACAGCATAAATGGGCATAAGTAAAATTTGTCCATGAGGAACACATAGCCTTCAGAACCCAAAAGTAACCCAGAGATGCTGGACATGTATTAATGTTATGGATACAGAGGTCAGCTGCTACTGCTTTACCAGTCAGGGTTGAAGTGGTCTCCAGTTCAGCAAGTAAGTTTCAGGCGTTTAACCCTGGTGGCAAGGTGTCGCTGCCAGTGGAGTGATGACCTGTTCTCTTCCAGTGGGCTCCTCTGTGAGTTATCTGTACCCTTCATGAGAGGGTCCAGTGAACTCCCTGGAGAGGTTATCATCAAGGTATGTTATGCCTGTGCTTCTGGAGAACAGTACATATGGTTAAGATCCTGTCTGCAGAAACTGGGTTTGATGGCAGAGGGAATCATTCCCCCCTGGGGAATGTAGAAAGGGATCGTGTCCTTTTGCAAGTGAAGGTGACCTATGGCTGAGAGACTGTTGAACGGCACTGATCAGAACATATTAACCATATCTACAATAGCAGAACATTAACAGTTGTTGATTGGCAGTATTTCAGTGATTCTGAAACAGTGATAGGGGTGGGGATGTTCATAATGGATAGGACCACATTAGCACCCACTGTGAGCACCGTTAGCACTGTTCATTCTTTCCTGGTTTAAGGACAGGCCTTATGGGAGAAACAGTGGGAAAATCACTCTTCCTTAAGTAAGTTTTGGAAAGTAAGTCTTACTCTTTGAAGGTCCTATTTTAACTGATACTGGGCTATGTTCACTTTTTTTTTTTTTTTTTTTTTTTTTCCCAGTACCAGGAATCAAACTCACGACCTCGCGCTTGCCAGGCAGGTGCTGTGCTGCTGAGCTAAATCCCCAGCCCTATGTTCACTGTTTTAACTGGGAACCAAGCAGGGTTCAAATCAGTATATAAGTCCAGCCAGGTGCTAGGAGTGCCAGGGAGCACCTGCCAGACACAGGCTGCACACTATGATATAGCCAGGCAAGACTAGTTCTCATGGCAGCAAGAATGGCTGTAGGGCAAGAGGAGATGGCAGCTTCCAAAGAGAGAAAAGAATATGGACAGAGCTAGCTCAAGTTCAAGCCCACAGGTCCATCTCAGGAGGCCATTGGCATATCAGAAACCAGTTAGCAAAGAGGACATCATCAGAGCTGATCAGGTATCTTGGGTCATGTTTGGCTCGTCTGTTCACAAAGCCAAGTTATTATGGTCCGCTCCTTTTGCCCTGCTGGGGGAGAGGGTGATGGGGATGGCACAGCACCCAGCACTGGAGGTGAGCAGCAACCGTTTCCTAGTCCGGTGTCTCACCTGGGGAAGAGGACACTACACCCTACACAGGGCTGCACAGGAGGCCACTCTCAGGAGTGGATTGTGCCCAGGCTATGAGGACAAGTATCAGGAGCTGGCCAGTCTCCCAATCCCCTGGACAAGTGTACAGCAAAGAATAAAAGACAATAGACAAAAGTAATGTGATATGCAGGGGTGCAGGAATGTCAGAGCTCTTGTGGCTAAAACACAACTTCTCCGAAATGGCCACTGTTTATTGAGTAACATATCAGGGGGTGTGAAGAAAAGTGTAGGGAATAGCTGAGGCAGAAGAGCCATAAAAGTGAGCAAGGCCTTGAGAAAGTAGAGCAAAGACATTCTAAGCAGTAAATCTGTACTTAATGAGAGAACTGTTTTATCTCTGAGGTTGGCAGTTACTGCCCTGGAAATCTGAGTGAGACTCAGTATCCTCAGCTGTAGCGTTATCTTGCCTTCAGAGACATCGCAGTGTCACAGGCCACTACGGGCCTCTACTGTGACCAATGGCATGGAGAATTCTGTTTTTGCACACCAGCTGCTGACTCGTCAGGCAAGTCACTTAGACCTGGGACAGACTCATAAATTAACATGGAAAGCCAGTTGATTACTTCTAATACCTGCTCAGCGCCACCTCAGTGTGATCTCCATCAGACAAGGCTCTGTAGGAACAGGGCTGGGAGTCCTGGTTCCACAGGAGGATGTGATTGGCCTGTTTGAATAGTTACGCAGGCCAGCAGAAACTAAGCTCTGGTGTTCAGGGACACATAGGCACAGTGCCTGAGCCCCTTGGTAAGGAGTGTTGTTTAGCTAGGGACCTTATCCATGGGAGCAGAGTGGAGATGGGAACTTGTGTTTACATCATTTGAAGTCCTGGCTTCCCTAGGTGGTAGGATAGCACAGCACCCTAATGGCTTTCAGCCTTGTAACACTCAGCCCGGGGAACAGCTGCCTGTGTTGCTTCTTGTTTTTGTGATTCGTTTTGCACATTCATTCATTCAGGCAGGCAGGCAGGCAGGCAGCCCACACTGTGCCTGGTCCCGTGGGAGACATGACAGGCAGGTCCTGTCTCTGTGGTACTTACAGTTGAGTGAAGGGATAGAGAGCAGTGTATGAGTCAGTGCTAGGAAGCAGCAAGGGTCAGGAAGAAGACAAAGCGGGGTGATGTGCCAGGGTGGGTGGTGGGAACAGCTTTGGAACGGGAGGCAGGAGGAGGTCCCTGGAGGAGGAGGAGACACTAGAGAGGAGGCCTGAATGGACGCGGGCTGCCTGCAGACTGTGCGCAGGCCACCCAGTGGGGCCAGTACGTGAGACCTTCATTGTCACCTGTGGATGGGTTCTCCTGTCTGAGATGAGAAAGAGAGAGGAAAGATCATTTTAGTTCTTTAAAATTTAGTTAGCTTGATCTCTAAGACTTGAACAAGGTGGAGAAGCATTCAGGTCTTTAAAAACTGGCTCAGAGCCAGCCTAGGCTCAAGGTGACCCTGAGAGAAGAATGGAGCGTCCAGAAACTGCGCATGCTAAGCACACACTGTGCCCCTGCACAGCACCCCCAGCCCCTCCTAGTGTGCTGATTGTGTGTAATGGGTTGGAAACTACTGATCTTGTCCCAGTCCCTGTGTGGGACTGTGAGATGGGTTTGTTCAGGGTCACCCCGGAAACCACCTGATGCTTGACCCAGACTCTTCCTGTTATCCAGTACATCCTGGAATTCAGTTCGGGCTCTTTGAGATTTTGCTCAGGGCTACTGAACTGTTTTTAAAATCATAATCTTCATTTTCCGGATTATGGCCCAATAAACTGTGTTGACGTGATGTTTGCAAGTTTTACAGGAAAGTAATTTTTCTCCCATGAATGTATTCTTTTATGTATTTCTGGCAACAGTTTCGTTTAGTGATTCTAAAAGCAAATGATTATAGTAGTCAGAATGTATAGAAAGTAACAAAAGTTAACCACTAAGCTGTTTCCCAGCCATTCATTTATTTAGTGACAGGGTCTCATACCTGGCCCAGGCTGGTCTCAAATTTGAATTCTTGTTTTTCAGCCTTCTGAGTAGCTGGGATTACAGTCGGGAACCACCATGTCTCCCCAGACCCGACTTTTCACTGTACTCGTGTGTGCATGTGTATGTGTGCGTGCACTTACTGTGTGTGTATGTGGTGTGTGTATATGCAAGCACATATCTTTATTTCTCAATTTTAAAACAAATTGGAGAAACATTTTTGTCTAATTTGTAACTATGTCAGATGCCTTTTTATGTGAAATTATGCAGATGGTTTATTTCTATATTTCCTGCACTGACAAGGTTCAGGATCCACTGTGCACAATTATGTTATATTAGGATGTTTGACCCTACCCCAAACTGTTAGGACACCTTGAGGTAGTGATGCCAGGGGAAGTAACTGGGTACCTGGGGCCTTGGGAAAGGATATCTCACTGGAAGTGTTCAGCAGCCAGAGAAGCTGATTGGCCTCAAGGGCTTCTGTCCTAAATCAGCTGATGCCCTGAACCCAGTTGACTCCTGTAGTACTTTTCTCAAAACAAAACAAAAAACCCCCACCATTTTAGCCCATGGCACAAGCATGGCTCATGCACTCGCGAAGCTGAGGCAGGAAGATCATGAGTTCAAGGTCAGCCTGGGCTACATAGCAAGTTTGGAGCCAGCCTGAGCCTTATAGTGAGACCCTGTTTCAGAAAAAAGAAAGAGAAAGGGAGGAGGGAGCCATTTCTCTCAGCCTCTTCACTGCTTCCAGACCATGTTTGAGCAAACTGACCCAAACCACGGGTAATGAATGGGCTGCAGCGGGGGTCACCAGGGGAGCCCGTGCAGGGAGGGTGGTAGTGAGACCTTGCTGGAGCCAGGGTCTGAGGCGCCCCTCCAGGGCTAACTGG